CCCAAACATAAACATGTGACCTATGACATCATTGAGTGAAGAATTTGTACAAGCAGCACATCATTCATTACAAGAGACATTCATTTCTGTCATCTCAGAACACCTCATCAGCTTGTCCCACCTCCAGACCCCCAAATACCTCATTGTAGAACAAGGAGACCAACTGTCACTGTGTTCTACAACAAGACATTCCAAGGATCCGGAGAACAACCATTTGTTCTAATCACATCTTTCTGTAAAGTCATTCCAGCAAGTCAGCCTGTTATTCTAGAAAGAACCCAACATGAGCATAGAAGCACTTAGTGATGTCATCTCATCATTAGTAACGCAGAACAGAAGGATTTTTCTTTATCACATGAATAGGACCATAGAGGAAATGTAACCATTGTTCTGCCCCATAAGGATCATAGAGGTGCTGGGACTGAAGGGGAGAATGGGGATTGTAGTCCAATCCGTCCCATCATTAGAAACATTTCCCCTCCTGCGGTGAATAAAGGCCCCAGCATTATTGTGCTCACTGTGGCATGCACGTTTATACCCAATATGTGTCATACGTAGGTGCACCCAAGGTCCTATTTAAGGAGACATTAGGGGTCTATTACCTTTATGTAACCTTTGCAGCCCAATGAAGCTGATGAAAATCAGATCGATCTTAATCTTTTTACTTTGCCCTTAGCTGGAGAATGAGCGCTCAGAACCCGGAAGAGGTGAAATCACAGCTGCTTCCAGGTTCGTTCACTGGTCTTCCTTCTTTCTCTCTGCTGACACCCACCATGGCTGTCTCGGGGAAAACATGGCAGGGATGTCGGACGGTGGGATGGCACCTGCAGGGGGATGGAGGTGTAGAAGAGATCATGTGGCTATACAGCCACCCAAACCACTTCTACCTAAAAGCTAGCAGTCAGCTGAGGGATTGCATTGACACTCCTGGCTCTTATAGCATCATTCCAGCTCTCTACTGCCATGGATGTAGTACTTGCACCCGTGGCAGTGAAGGGATTAAAGGTGCATCCTCCAGAGCTGTCATCCCAATCCTGACTACACTACCTAATGTTTCCCTGCCCCGGGACAAGCATCCAGTCAGTAAAGCCTGAAAAATGTGACCTGCCGAGTATTCCACCCGGTCTATGGGCAAATCTCACACATCTGATTTCCCCCCAGATATCTTTATACAACCTTCCCATACACCTAACCCGGCATGGAGGGGCTCAGTGAAGGTGGTGGTGAAGGTGTGGAGGTGTCGGATCGGGTCACTCAATTCATAAAAGGAGATCCACCCGGCCTCATAATCCAGATCTATCCTGACTCTGTCACTGGAGACAATGCCGGGTAGTAGGATCTCTCTCCTGTTATGAGTCACTGAGTACTGATTATCCCACCACCCCAAGCCCCAGGATTTCTTATTATATCCAATCACTGACTGACCTCCTTTCCTTTCTATAATGGGGTAGCACATCCCGACTTTCCAGTCAAGTGACCCCTCGACATCCACTTCCCAGTAATGTCGCCCTGAGGAGAAACTCTGACTGCTCAACACCTGAGGATAATCCTGAAATTTCTCTGGAGTTTCTGGATAATTTTGGTCTGTATCTGACCAGGTTGCAGTTTTCCTGTCATGTGATATCTGTAGAGTATTACCAGCTGTGCTCACATCCAGTATTATGTCTGTAACCCCCGACACCCCCGATGTTTGCTGCACTGCCCCAATATTTGATCCTCCAGGCTGGAGGTGTGAATGTTGTACGGTGGGGGTGGGTTGGGGGCGTGGCCTGGATGGTTCAGCAGTGATGTGACCTTTGCCCTTTGCACTAGAATGTGGATAGACATGTGTGCCTGGACCTTCCTGTACAATTACCCCAGACATGATATCAGATATACCTGTGTGTAATGTGTGTGAGATCCCAGCCACATCCAGATCCCCTCCATCATGGAGGAGTCTATCATGTCTCTCTCTGTCCTCATCATCTCCATCCTCAGTATCACACAAGTCACCTGTGTCTGATTCCTGTAGGACAGTCAGTGGATCCGTCATGTTACACAGCTCCTCAATGTGACGCATCTTCCTGGACAGCTCGTCCTTCTTTATTTCCAGCTCCCGGATCATATCCAACACGTAGAGGGAGACCCGCTCTGCCTGCCCGGAGATGTCACTCAGGACTCTCTTCTCCAGGTCCTCCAGACGTCTCCTGAGGTCTCTGAGCAGGGCAGTGACTCTCTCTGTTTCACCAGCTGCTTTTCCTCGTACTTTCCTCCGGTGTTCCTCCAGACTCTGGACTCTTTTCTTCATCTCCACTTCCTCTGTCATCAGTTTCTGCAGAACATTCCTCAGTTTCTTCTTCTTCTTCTCAGAGGCCTCATCCAGAGTCTCCACCTGATGTCCTCGATGTTCTCCATCCAGCCTGCAGGACACACAGATACAGGCAGAGTCCTCAGTGCAGTAATACTCCAGGATCTTCTTATGGACGGAGCATTTCCTGTTCTCCAGGGAAGTGGTGGGGTCACATAAGACGTGTTCTGGTGACCTGCTGTGAACTTTCAGGTGGTCCTTGCACAGATAAGCTTCACACATCAGACAGAGTTTAACAGCAGGTACTTTGGCGTGGATACAGTTTGTACAGATCTTCATCTCTTGATCTGGCTGAGAAGTCAGGAAATTCTTTACCATATTATTCAATCTTCTGTTTCTCAACAGAAAAGGACGTCTCCTGAATTTTTCTCTACATTGAGGACAGGAATATCCTCCAGACCCCTCCTCTGTATCCAAGACCCGACCAATACAATCCCGGCAGATGTTGTGTCCACATTCCCGTGGTACAGGATCTGTATAAATGTTCGTACAGACGGAACATTCCAGGTCCTTCTTCAGATCAGCAGACGCCATCGCTGACAGCAGAAGGGTAAAGTATAGAATGTTATCTCTCCCAGACTTCATTTATTAAGAGATAACAATGTACAAAGTCCTGGAATCCATATCAGTCATGCAAATACATTCAGATTTCCTGCAGTGTGATTGGTTGATGGGTTTTACTACGCTTTGCATATCCTCATTGCTCTCTGAACCTTCTTACGGAATAATGCTGAGTGAATTGAGAAGGGCTCCGGTTCTTTCATCATCTCCGAACCGCGGCGCTAGGCGTTTGCGTACGGCGGCACCAGCGGAGCAGCCGCCCCCGACGGAGGGAAACCATCATATGCCTGTGTCGTTAAACCTCTATCCTCACCTCTGTGTCCTCGAACCCCCCGTACCTTGTCTTACATTTCTCTCCCTATTTCTCTAGTGTCCGTCCTATCGTGTATAAAAACCGATCACTTTCTTTCTAATCCAATCTCCTTCTCTAACCATTTGTGATCCTATTCTAACGTGTGCTTGTTATTATCTTCAAATCTAGTGTCCTGTGTGTGTCTAAGTATACCTACTCAATGAATCCATTCTACTTCCCCCACTATGCACTCACCTCTATTCCTTTCCCTACCTCTTATCCTTATCTCCCACTCCTCCAATAGGCATTCATGTTCCTTACTATTTCTCGCTCCTACAGGTCATATTTCTACTTTGATAACTAAAACATCTAATCCGAAATCTTATCTCTATCCTTGGCCACAAAATCATTACCCCACTGTGGATTCTTTATTTCATTTTTCCCTAGGCTCCTTCTCATTAGACATGTGCGATTCGTTTCGTTACGAATCGAAATTCGTACGAATTTTCCTGAAATTCGTAGATTCGTAAGCATACGAAATCCGAATGGCAGTTTCCGAATTATAGCCGAAATGCGAAATTCCGTTAACGAATTTTGGATCCGAATTTCTTTGAAACAGGAACTAATATTACCCCTGTAAATGAGGTTGAACAACATGACAAGATTTTTTTTTAATCCGAAATACGGATCCGCTGCTGCTGAGAGTCGCATAACAATACACAGGCAGGAAATACGAAATTCCGTTGACGTATTTTCGTTCCGTTACGAACATTCGTTATATTGAAGGTAAAAAGCAAAGTACATTTATATTGGAGTTGATGGTAGTTTTTTTTTTAAGTCCGAAATACGGAATTCGGATACGGAATCCGTTAACGGAATTCGTATTTCGGATAAAAAAACAACAACCACATCGACTCCAATATTAACAAAGGTATTTTTGCTTTTTAACTTCATCATAACGAATGTTCGTAAAGTTACGAAAATGTGCCGAAACTAACGAAAATTCGTATTTCGTACGAATCCGAATTGAGTTTCGGATACGAATTACGAAATACGAAATGACGGATATTCCGAAACGGAACGAAACTAAACAAATTTTTTGACGGCGCACAAGTCTACTTCTCATTACTCTATCCTTCTCCATAAATCTACCTAACTTCCTCCGTCTGTATATAGTTTTCCCACTTTCCCCAAATCTCATGGAAACTCTCCTTTTTGTCTGAGTCCCTTGCACTTAGCTCCTCCATATATCTTATTTCCTCCATTGTGCTAACCCAGTTCTCTTATTGTGGGTGATATCGTTGACTTCCAACCCCGCGATATGCATACCCTAGCTGCAACCAATACAAATCTTAAGATTTAGCTTTTAATTTTTTTTTAGGGATCCGGGTATTAATAACAATAATGCCATAAAAGGGTCTTTTTCCAAACTTTGTGTCTCTATGACGTTATATATTTCAAATACAGACTCCCAGAAAGGCTGCAATCTAGGGCAGCTCCACCAGATATGCAAGTATGTCCCCCTCCTCCCGACTACATCTCCAGCGTCTATCTGATAAGTCTGGGTTTATGTGTCTGATGCCTTCTGGGCACCTATACCATCTAGATATAATTTTGTAGTTCTTTTCTTGGTGGAAGAAAGCAGGGCAGCCATCAGGGGGTACGGCCAATACTCATGTAAGGGGCCCGGGCAGCCTGGGGGGCCCGCCCGGGTCCCTTACATGACTGTCGGACGGCGGTGAAGGGCGAGGAGGCGGAGGCCTGGCCATAGCAGCGCAGGGCCCCAGCATTGCCGCTCCAGCAGCTTCGAGACAAGCTGGGGCCCCATCAGCGACGCTGCTCGTCTGATGTCGGACTGGCCGGAAGTGACGTCCTCTGCTGTGAGAAGTAATCAGGGCAGCCATCAGGGGGGGTACGGCCAATACTCATGTAAGGGGCCCGGGCAGCCTGGGGGGCCCGCCCGGGTCCCTAGAGGCCCGGCCGAAGGCCGTGTAAGGGGCCCCAAAATTTCTGACGGCTGACCTGCTGACAAGGTATGAGTGACGGGTGTTTCTGATATACACAGTTTCTCAAATGTGGTAAATGTCCTGTTTTATATGTCCTAAGGTGTCTGATATAATCTGATGGATGGATATCTCCATCATACCTCCATCCATAACTTCCCGTTAAGTTGTCTTTCTGGTCGTAGGTGCATTTTTAATTCTTCTCTGCCTGGTTCTAGCACTTGCCATACCTGTAAGTGTGGAATGTTCTCCATATTTAATAGTGTAGTTGCTTGCATACCTGGTGGAAATTGTGGATTACCCAAAATGGGAGTCAAGGGTCCAGGCCTAGATGAAAGGTTAACTTTAATAACAGACTTGTAATGCCGCTTGTACTAAGAGAGGCAGTGTGGATACCTGTGGTCTACACTCCACTGGAAGCCAAGGGAGGTTCCTCAAAGACACTGGGGAGACATCAGCTTCCAATTTTACTACTCCTTTGTCTTGACCCCCGTGTATCCAATCCAATATTCCGGATATTAGGATCGCTTTATGATAGAGTGCACAGTCTGGGATTCCCAGGCCTCCTCTGTGTTTTGATCTCATCAAATCTTTAGCACTTATTCTAGGAGTTTTATTTGCCCAAACAAATTTCATTGCTGCCGATTTTTATTTTCTTAAAAAAAGCTTCTGGTAGGATGTAGGCGGGGTTCACTCTTGGGGTGTTGCGTGTGTGTTTCCTTTGGGTTGGCTGGGTAACCCCGTGCATGCAACTCGAAACCAGACACCCCGCGCTCAGGGGCCACGGCCTTGGCCTCGTGCAAACACTCCCACAAGTGTAGTGCTGCGCACACAGGGCCTCATGGCTTCAACCGCCTCTGCAGTCTTCGGCGCTTCCTCCCCCTCAGGGAGAAAGGCCACCATGAAGGGCACCCTGTGTCAGGCATAGCCCCATTGCACACCTACCCTCCTCAGGATGGTTACAGCCACGATACAGTCCAACATCACACTCCTATAGAACCTTCTCAGAGGTTGGAGGGGGAAGAACCAGTCCACACAGGTAGTCTTTTTCTTGGTTTTACTTGAAGGTATAAACAGAACAAAGTATACGTTTCAGCCACCCCCGGGTGGGATGACGGCACATTTCTTGTTAGTTGCATGGTGATACAATTTAGAGAGAGAGAGGTACATCAGCCCAGGTGCAGCCCAGAGTCCATGACTTACTTCGGCCAGAGGCCCACTGGCAAATATCGTCAGTCTACTAGCACTTCACTATTCTCTGGAATCCCATCCTTGTCAGTCCTAGCACAGTGGGTTTCCCCCTTCAGGGGAAACTAGGGAATCTTTGTAGCTCTACATAGTCCTAGGCCTGGTCCTGTCCTTCCCATGGACCAGCCTATGTTCAAGAAACAGTCTCCCTCCAGAGACTCTGCATACAGTCTTAGACTTCTGCTCTCCTGCACTGAACTCCACAACTCAACTCAACTTCCCCTCTCGGGCGCCCCCTATAAATCAACTTCTCCTGGGACACATAGTCTCCCCCAGGCCAGAGCTGCATCTATCTCCAGGGCCCCATGGGGGCATCTAGTGGCCGTTGGCCATACTGCACCTACCTACAAGGAGAATGGGGATTGTCTGGAATCTATATAGTATTTTTGGGAGGATATCCATTTTTAAAATATTTACTCTCCCTATCCAGGACAGTCTTAAACTATTCCATGAGTAGAATTGGGTCAAAAATACTGTCTATCCAATCTCTAAAATTAATAGCATACAGTTCATTAAGTTCTTTTGGAATATTAACCCCCCAGGTATACAATATGTTTAGCCTGCCATCTAAATGGGTAGTTATTCTTTATATTAGTTATTACTTTGTCAGTTAGAGATATGTTTAAGAATTCTGATTTAGATTTATTTGGAAATTACTCAGGTCCCCGTAGCTCTTCAATTCTTTAAGGATATTGGGTATTGATATTATTGGAGAATTTATTAAGAGAAACAGATCATCCGCATATAATTACGATTAATGAGATGATGCGTGGACCTATATGGGTTGGACTTGATGGACTAATGTCTTTATTCAACCCCAAATACTATGTAACTATGTAACTATGTAATGCTATTTTATGGTGTTGTGTTAAAGTGGACATACCTGATATCGAAGGGTTTTTCCTAATGGTTGCAGCTAGCTGTTCCATTACTATAACATATAGTAAGGGTGAGAGGGGGCATCCCTGCCGGGTACCGTTTGTTATTGGGAATGATGCAGATAGTTCCCCATTAACTCTAACCCTTGCATTTGGATGTGTACACAGTGCCATCACTTTGGATAAGAAGAATTCTCCCACTCCCATTTGCGCCAATGATTCTCTGAGAAATGTCCAATTTACCCTGTCGGATGCCTTTTCAGCATCAACCGACAGAAGGCAAAGCGGTACATCTCTCTTTTGTGCTAGTTCTATTAGATCAATGATCCTAGTGGTGCTATCTCTAGCCTCCCGACCCGGCACAAATCCAGTTTGATCTAAATGAATAATTTTAGGCAGTACCTTTTTTAGCCTGCTGGCCAATACTTTTGCATATATTTTTAAATCTAAATTTATAAGAGAAATTGGGCGGTAGTGTCCACATTCTAATAGACCTTTTCCAGGTTTCGGGAGCACAGCACAGTACTAAGAAAAGATGTCCTTGAGTTGGAA